AACTCTATAAAATGTTTCAAAATAATTATAATAACAGTATGATTAGTTTTAGAAATTATATAGGTATGTGTACCTTGCTAGGCTCTGCTAGAGCGACGTGGTCGTTTTAAAGACAAATCTCTTAAATAAAGAGAAAAAATAATAATAATTGGTTTGTAAAAATTTTACTTCCTTTTCATACTGTAAAAAAATACAAGGCTTTAATCAAATTTAATTTTCCCATTGTAAAAATACAATGATACTATGTTCAATCTCCTACAGTCGACTTTGTTAGAAAAAAATAATAGCATTCAGTTTCATTACGTACTTACTTTTTACGTCTCGCCTTTGAGAATATTTTTCCTCATTTGAATTTTTATTATTTATATACAAAACACGTAACAGTATTATTGAAATATTTTTTTAAAATACCTTGGCAAGAAATTTATGTCTGATTTTATAATTACAGATCCATCTCATTGTTCTAGATTTGATCTAATGAAAGCCTGTATTTTAACAAAGAAATTATACATTGGCGTTTAAATTAATCGTAATGTCAATATAACAAAATAAATTATAAGCTGTGGAAAATAACGTATATAATTATATTATAGCCTTGCTTTACTGATTCATGTCCAACATTGAATAAGTATGCAATCACAGATCGATCGGCCGACATCTGTATCTAATCATGATAGCGAGTTAGCCGAGCGGAAGCTGTCACCTCGCCCGATAAACGAGTACGAGGAAATTATATTTACTTAAATAAAAAGGCATTTGTCTTTAATCTATGTTTATTAATTATTATATTCTCTAACTTCCACAAAAAACAACACAAAAAATTTTAAAAGAACATATTTAAATTTTTTAAATAAGGTATCTACATACTATTTTTTTCTATGACAAATTATTAATAAGTTTACTGATTAAGAAATAAATATCTAACGTTTAAGTAAATATATTTGAATAGTTAATAGTTAATAGTTTTAATAAAGTTTTCAAGTGAATACATAAACGTATATGTATAACTAGCGACTCACCCTCGCTCCGCTCGGGTTCGTCCCTACTTACGTTTTGACGTTTAGTATGGATTTCTCAGAGATGAGATATTTTCCCGCAGTAAAAAGTATCCTTAATATTGACCCGGATAACCAGCTATTATAATACCAAATTTCATTAAAATCCATCTAATGGTTTTCCGTGACGCGGTAACAGACAGACAGACAAAAATTCTAAAATCTATAGATTCGGCCTCTGTATCGATAATAACGTCTATTTCAATAAGATTTTCCAAAAAATATTCAATGTACAGATTCGGCTCAGTTAGAATTTTATTATATGTATCGATAAATATGTAATACCTTTAAAATAATTATTGTATGCAATTTGATGAGATCCTTTGAGACTAATAATGTTAAAAGGTCATGTACGAGTATGTTTATATATTATGTTGTTAGTCACGTTACGAATTTTATCGTAAAATATATACCTACTCTTCAGTTAAACTGACTTATTTCATTGCAATTTGAAAGATTGTCATCGATTCATTTTTTACAAAAAGAACAACTGGCACGACTGATTTTTTGTTTATGTACCGCAAATTCCGGTTGCATTGATGTGTAAAGAGTTCTCAAATAACTGTTACTCAATGGGTTTTAAAAAGTCTTTTCTTTTATTTCCTTCAATTCATTTTTAAAATGAAAATTCATTATTAGTCTAGCTAGTCAACGAGTGCCTTTTTGGACAACTTTTTCAGCATGGATGAAAAATATGAACGAGATGTCATTCGATTCAGCATGTAGATGATTTTTGAAAAAAAATCAAGTTCCGCTTACAAAAGCTGCAAAAGTTATAAACAATTAACTAAATATAAAAAAGGGGTTTAGTTTTTTGCAAATATATCAAAAAATTATTGAGCTTTCCATATTAAAGAAGATGCAAAAAGAGGAGAGTAGAGTAGGAGAATATTTTATTGACCAAATTTTTTTTGATCTGTTAATTTTTTACAGTAGTGTATCAATAAAATGCAGATTTATGCGGAAAGACTTAAAAAATATGAAAACCTCATCTTAATATCCTCTCTCCTGTCTCTATCCTCTAAATATTTGTGAATTATGCCAAAAAACATTAATAGATTCTACGGGAAAAAATACAAAAGAAAAGGTATACTTTACGTGACTACCAATTTTTTTAAGTTTTTTCACGACTCGTCAAATTGCAAAATGAAATGTTTACGGCGACATTGTATAAATAATAACCATCAAATTAAAACTTTGAGCTTGTTGTTTTTTTCGTTTTTTCCCGAAAAATATATGTATTGGTGTAATCCGTTTGTAAAAATTTGGTTAATAAGTACACTTTTTGAATGATTATTAAAAAATATAGCTTTTAATAAAAAAATATCGATTTCTCTAGTTTTTAAAAATTTTTAAGGGTGTTTTACAGGACGACTATACAATGTTTTTGTTCCTTAAAAAAGTAGAGTGCAAAACGAGAAAATTGAGCCTTATCTGAAAATTGAACGTTTATTTTAAATGTAAACATTCACTTGAAGTTGGGGGTGATTTTCGGCCTTCCGAGATCATAAAACATATTTTTTTCTAAAACGGCTAAACATTTCAATTTAACACATTCGCTGCATTACGAGATCTATCAGATCTCTTGCAGGACTTTTGTATTGTGCGTTGACTATAATCGTGTTGTTTCACTCCTTGCGGGAGGCTCTAACGTGTAAAGTTCTTTAAGTATGAGTAAGACAAATATACATATTTGCTTCCTACTTAAAGGTGAATTCGGGGACATAAAACAAATAAATAGAGATGGATTAGGTCCCTAACGCACAGTAGTATAATTATTTTTATTCCTTGCGTTAGGAGACATGTCGATACTCGTGGAATCTTACGCCTCGTAGACGCAAGAGAGGGAGGGTGGGCGGCGCGGGCGCTGTGTGAATCGATTTAGTGTTGTCCTAGTGTCGACGTGGGAGGTTGCGCGCACGTTTCGAAAAAGTGTAAAAAAAATTATTTCATATATTTTATTTAATTATTTAATAAAATTGTTTTATTTTGGTGAGATTTCTAAGAATGAAAAATCAACGCTGGATTATAGTGCTGCATCGTCCAGTATAATTACAATTTTGGAAAATATAATGCTTTTTATTACAGAATTCCCCGAAGGAAGATGTACAGATCATGTTTTCCAACGTGGCGACAAAAAAAGACGTTGTGTGGGTTGTTATGAAAAATTACGACGCACATTAAACAGCACTGACGCTTCTAAAAAAAGCTAAAAAAATTGTTACCATTTGCGCGCAATGCAAATAATCAATGTGCTTACCATGTTTTAATGAAAAACACTTTGCATAGTTTATAAATAAACTTCTTTAATAAAACTTTTTCAATCGACAACTGAGATATTATTTTATTCCCATCACTACTTACTACACATATTGAACTATCTTCGGTTGCGGTACGAGATACAATCGATATCTAATTTTTTTTTGGTATTTGTAGTTTATTCTAATGTCATAACTGCGTGCGAACCTAGCAAAATGTAAAGCAATAGGCTCTCTTGACCCACAAAAACTTCTAAATATATGTCATTTGTTTTTTGGAAGATATAAATTATTTTCAAAACTGTATTTTTAGGAGACTGATTAGGTCTCTAACGCACCAAAGGGTAGGCTAGTTTCGAGATCTTTTAGGTCTCCAAAGCACCAGCTGAAAGTTCTTTCAAAATGATGACGCAGTGAACGTGTTAAAAAAAAATGGTTATCATATGTATTTAGAAGATTATATTCCACTAGTTTCATGAAAATCAAAAATTATTGCAGAAATTAAAAATATAAAATCAAGAAAAAATTAAAAAACGATTTTTTGCAAATATCTCCAAGACTATGAGGTTATTGTAAAAAAAGTCATCTATAAAAGTCGTAGATTTTTACTAAACCTACAACTTTTGTAAATAATATTTTTCGACAGGATGTCACAGTAAGCCGGAAATTAGAAAAAACTATTTTTCAACGTTTTGCATCCCCCCATTTCTCAGGTGTAGCTGGACAGCGGGGGCATTTTACGGATTTTGTTCCTTATATAACTTAAATTAAAGAAAAAACTGAATAATGAATAAAAACTTACTTGGTTTCGAATCAGTTTATTAAAAAAAAATTTGTATTAATCCTTCTTTTCTCAAACTTCAAGTAAATGAATAACTGCTAACGTTATGATACACTTTGTAATATATATATTTTTTCACTATATTTTACTGATAAAAGTATTTTCTCACCGAATTCTAAACATTCAGATTTAAACTAAAGAGCTTTTTAATTTTCGTTTTTATATGAGTGCCTACATATAAAATACAAAAATGTACAAGATTTTCCTATTTACTCTGCTCTCAACTATTGAAAATGAGCATAATTAAAAGGCTCATTTCGTTTCTTATAAAATATGCAAATTAAATCTCTTAAAATGCAATTAAAACTAATGTAAAACTAGAAGTTACTCGTAATAGGATAATTTTCAGATGAGCTGTTACAGTAGACTGAACAAATTGAAAAGAGGCAGTTAAAATATTTAACATTTTATTCACGGAAATACTTGCTGGCAATTTTCAACTAATCTTGTTCAGCCTTGGGTTTGTTAAGGCATTTTATAAAATAATGAAGTTTATGAATTGCGAGAGAACATAAATATTTCTTGGAGTGCAGTTTAAAAATTTAAAGAGAGCTCGGCAGCGTCTCGAATACTGTAGTGGCATCACAAATTAGCACTTTGTTGATAGGAATATTTTATAGATGCAAATTACATTTGGGTTAAGTCTCATAATAAAGCTGTTTGACTAATTTTTAGTTTTTCACGAATTATTTATGATTACTGCAAATATATACATATTATTACATTCAATTTAAAATTGAACCTTCGTCGCTGAGATAGTAAAGATAAAAATTTTGCACAGAACTATTTATTTACCCCTATTTTCTTTTAAAAAGGCATTCGTGGAACTTTTATTTGAGGAGTTTACGACTCTGACGCTGGAAATGCAGCGTACATTGATGCAATTCTAACTTTTATTGCTTGCGTTAATGCTTGGGAAATGTGACTTTTTATAGGAAGGAAAACTATGTTGTCTTTATAACGGTGAAACAATCTTAAATAAAATAGTATTAGCCACGCATTAACTAACACTGGCCATTACTGTGTAAAGGAAGGTCAGTCAATTTTATACTGTTCAAGAAAATTTCACAATAAAGCTAAAGAATTAGAAATAGATTCTAAACAGCACATACCTGAAACTACTGCATGGATGTATGACCCAGTGGCCCGCCGCCTTCTGCCTTATGCGCTCTTTCATTAGAGCTTTTTTCGAGCCGAAGAGTTTCATGGCGAGTTTGTTGTCGGTGGGCTGGAAGAGTGCTTGTAACTGATTGCGAAGAAACCCTTGCTTGGCGTCGGGGGCCGGGGGCGCAGGCTCCACGGGCGTGCCGTACAGGGACACATCGTCCAAACCACCGAAGTGGACCTTGCCGGTGCCGCTGCCTTGCTTCAGCGACATATCGGCGTCGCCTGCGTTGGAAATAATCGAACATTACATCATCTTACGGCAGGTAAATATATAACATTTAATATTATGTAGATAATTTTTAACTGTATAAAACCTGTACGTATAACATATTTTCTGCATGAAAAACTACTTCTTTTAAATAGATAAACATTTATTGTTTTACACGACGTAACAAAGTAATAGTAACAAAGAAAGATCGTTTCAACAAAAGGAAAAGTGTAACTGGACATAAAATGAATTATCGTAAAAATAGTAGTTTTCAATATGTCTTTTAGAGACAGACTGACATCGAAATAGATAAAATAACACGTGAGAGTTAAACACATTTGTTAGTCATAGGCGACTTGCGACGTAATACAAACGAAAGTAAGAGACTGGCCGACATTTACCAAATTGCTTATTTTACTGTCATTACCTAAACTTTTTTGGCGACTCTATCTTTAATAGTTAATCAACTTTAATACTCTAAAAATTTCATCGGATTCTTTCCTTTATTTTTTTACTACCAGAACAAATTTCATTACTCAAGCATTAAATAATTTTATCTTGAGTTGAATTTACTTTGGCTTTTATGCTTATTGCTTGAATGATTTGTATATTGCACCAATAGTTCTCCACTCTATTAGCTTGCAACTATTACAACGTTTAAAAAGCAACACTCGAGTTACTTAACTATAACTATTCACTAGAGGTCATACATACTAGATGACCACTGACCACTACCGAGGCCACAATTACTGTAATTATTTCTATGATTATTATGGTTTGGTTGTGTATTACCACAATGTAAATAGTTGGTTGCTGGTAACCGTGGTTGTAGTCGTGGTCTAAGGCTCTAGTGGCGATGTAAGGTGATTAGCGAGTAAGCTCGATGCTGAGCCAGCGAGTGATACTATTCGTACCAAGATAGGTTCGTAGAAAGAATCAATGTACGAGTCAAAAGTGCATTCGTCTTGTTTTAGATTTATAATAAAAAATACTTGTCAAAACTGAATAAAACTTTATTTTGCTTTCATTACACAATTTTAAAATCTTACTTAAATTTACCGGTTTAAAAAAATGCCGATATTTCAATCACTCTAATGGTTTAGAATCACTCGGGTCAAGTGAAGTTAGCAATCTATATCGAAATTGAATCCGTGTTTCTAACAATACTATCCACTATCCAATACGTAACATGCCGAAATCAATAGAGATGTGGGCATTGAGCACAATGGCCAGTGTTTGAGGCGCGGCAATCAAGGCAAACGGTTATTGTTCTTTCCAATGTATGCGCTTGCACAGTGTTTAATATAAAACGCTTCCTGTTTATATCGCTCAATAGTACCTGTATGGTACCTAACGTCGCATTTCCGGTGCAATTTTAACAGTTTAAAAGTAAATAGCTTTTTTATCTATGTATAGATTAAATCTGATTCAAAGTTAATGTTCTAAATATATAATAAATAACTAATGATATCAGTAATATTTTTATGTTACTATATTCGCAGGAATTTGGACAATTCCTGCAAAAGGCATTATTTTTAATTTGTAATGATGTATGAGAATTAGATACTATTTGATCGACTTAAATGAGATTTTCCTGATATTTTTCATTATAAAAAGGTTATAGGCACCTTAATGAACTCCTTTATAAAAATGAAAAAAAAATGAAGGTGAAATGTTATTTATTTAAATCCGTTTCCGGTAAAAATAACTAAGACTTTAATTTACTGTAATATATGAACATTCAGTTTTCTAATAAAATATTAAATATAGATAAATCAAATCTCAAGAACAATTATTATATGTACTTACTATAATACGTAATCATTGTATAATAGATTTAAAGGAATTTTTAAATTTTGATGTTAATATTTCCAATTTGATGTTGACATTTCATTCGTTATTATTTGCAAGTGAGCAAGTACTAAGGAACCAATAAGTGGTATAGATACATTCATGTGTCATCTTAAAACACATGTTCATCTCATGCCTATTACAGCTGATAAAACAGACGATTAAATAATGAACCAATAGCACTTCATTCATTCAAGTGGCGTCAACACTGAAACTCGAGATCGCCAATCAACTGTCTTTATACAATGTCATCTTAATAGTAGAATCGTTTTGAGCTTCTTATGATTACTATAAACTGTTCAATAATGTTGCTTTTGCTAAAATAAACACAGGTTTTTATTAGAATGCTAAAAAAGCTTAATTGTCTTTTTATTTTAGCAAAATTCTTTATGAAATTCTTTATTATACTGATTTTATTTTATTTTTTGAATATCATATTTTTATTAATTACTAGCATTGCGCGCGGCTCCGCCCGCGTTCAGATGACCAAAACCCAAATTCTTAGGTTTTACATATTAGTATACTCTTACATTGCAGTTTTTGTATTTTTTCTCGTTAATGAGATATTTTCCCGCGGTAAAAAGTATCCTATATGTTGACCCGGCTAACCAGCTATCACCATACCAAATTTCATCAAAATCCCTCCAGTGGTTTTTCTTTGATGCGGTAACATACAGACAGATAAAAATTCTAAAAACTATAGATTCGGCCTCTGTATCGATAATAATGTCTATTTCAATAAGATTTTCCAAAAAAATTTAATGTACAGATTCGGCTTAGTTACAATATTATTATATGTATAGATTAATAGCGATGTGATTAACAAGACTTAAATTCCAACATTGTGCTATAAATTTCGTTGTCTATGTTACCCAATATGTTCTACTCCACTTTCTACGACTTATAAAAATATCTTGGCTATTTTTGTATATCACTACGAGCTCATTCTTTATACTATGAATTGTAAATACTTATTCCCTCAACAACCGCGGACACGCCCGCGCCGGCGTGTCAGTTTACAATAGATTTCTATAAATTTAATTAATTTCTTAGAAATTAACCTGGAGGTGTTTAATGATTATAAACAAACATACAAATTAAACACAAGATACATATTAGGTACGAAAATAGAAGTAAGCGGTTAAATTCTACATTATTAAAAGCAATTTTATTCAGAGTATCAGATGTTACCCTCCGCGTAGTAGGTAATTTAGGCAAAATCTTTAATTAAACAGTCATAGACAGACGCGGCCCGAGGAGGGAATGCTTGTATTTAAATTTTAAAACTTGTTTCTGAATCGCACTTATCAATCAATAAATTTAAAGATATAGAACTAACTTTTAATATCATTTCTCTAGTGATTAATGACATATAGCCATGTGTATAATCTATACATATAATAAAATTGTAACTAAGTCGAATCTGTACATTAAATATTTTTTGGAAAATCTAATTGAAATGGACGTTATTATCGATACAGAGTCCGAATCTATAGTTTTTAGAATTTTTGTCTGTCTATCTGTCTTTCTGTTACCGCATCACGAGAAAACCACTGGACAGATTTTGATGAGGTATGATAATAGCTGGTTATTCGGATCAACATGTAGGATACTTTTTACCGCGGGAAAATATCTCATTTTAGAGAAAAAATACAAAAACTACATTGTAAGAATATACTAATATGTAATACCTAAGAATTTGGTTTTTGGTCATCTGAACGCGGGCGGATCCGCGGGCAATGCTAGTATAATAAATAATTGATATTTTCTAAAAGAAAATAGACATATTTATGCCAATTTCATGGTTCTTAAGACAGATACATGTACAAATAAATGTATATATGTACGAGTATATCACAGACAATGTAATTCTTATAAAATTAAAAGAAATAAATTAAAAAGAAATTGTGTTACATATATGTAAAGAAATTATTTCTTCAATAATGATATTAATGAAATTACACCCAGTAAATAGTACGACGAATAAATTAAAATTCCAATGTTATCAAAAAGAAACTTACCTACTCGGGTGTTTTCCATCATTTAATCAGATTGAAAAATTAAACGTGACGTTAAGAAAAAACATGACTTAATGATTTGTTTTGCACTTGTAACATGTATGTTGGATCCAGATAGAAATAACTATCTATAAAGGTTTAATTTTGATAACAAAATAATATAATGATAACAAAAAAACTTAATAAAAAATAATTAAAAAATATAAATTATTCGGAAAATTAAATAATTCTGATGATTATGAAATTTAAACATGTCATACAATAGAAATTTGAACAAGCTGACCTCTGTCGGGTCAGCTTAGGTTTAATATAAAAGAAATACTATAATATAACATATAATATTAAATATTATTAGAAATATAAACTATACCCATAATTAGTATTTTAATATCACTCACGGTGGTGTTTTGTCATTATTGTAAAACTTCCTGTTATTAAAAATGTTATATTTTTACATGAAAAAGCATATTAGGTACATATGATTTAACAAGATTATTTAGGTATTGTTTTGTATTGCAAATACATACAATATAATTTTCTTCTCACTGCACATTGTACTTACCTTTAGGCATTTTGGATTTTCTTAGTTTAGATTTTCCTTTAAATGTAGCCGTGGTGATTAGTTTTGTACAGACAGATTAGATTTTAGTCATGCATTCCCGACATCACAAACATAGGAAGACACAGACGGACACACAAAATTAGTTTTATCTACATACACTAGTTTCTAACCCAATGACTATATTGTGACTATATTTGGCTTATGTTTTGGCTGAAAGAGAAGTAAAATTGTTTGAAAATGTATTTATATACACCATTGTCGTTTGGTATGACGTTATCGCTTCGGGTAACGGTTAATTATACTCGTAATTGTTAATAACCGATAGCTCAGTGTATGCTTATAATCCCCCCCCAACGTGCTTTCACCTTGTCGTGGGGGGGGGGGGGTGCGGCTCAGTAGTGCCCGGCAATACAGCCGGGCGCGAAGCCAAGAAACGCACAGGGAGGTGGCCCACTTCGGTGGGTGGTGGGAGGTGGCCCTCTTTGGTGGGCGGTGTACCATGCGGGTTGCTCCAGGTACTTCTCTGATAGCAGAGTGGACCTTGGACCAACCCCATGGTTGTGGTGGTCTGCTTCGGCAGACCTGCCGTCGGGGCGTCGTAGTTGAATGTGTAAGCGATCCTGCGACGCCCCATTAAGACGGGGGAAGGCTTTGTTGGGTTTTAGTGGGTAGTACTGGCTTTGCCGGTGAGTCCCACACCTCGTGCGTAAATGCATTTCCCAACGTTAAAAAAAAGTGTGTGCTTACAATATTTCTAGCTTTGTCTCGATATTACTTTAAATCCCATACATTTAAGCTCTTTTACAAGCATTGTGTCGAAACATTATACATTATTACTAAATTAATTAAGATTCATTACTGTTATTATCGAAATAATAGATTTATACACAAATGTTATTTATAATTGTTTTCATATAATTAAAGATAGATTTTATTTATTTCCATTCACTTTCTTTTGCTAGAAAATAACCTATCGTTCTTCTTTTATAACAAGCCCCATTTAAAATTATAAATATGATAGTATATTTGGTTTATTCATTTGTCCTTCTTTAAAAGATCTTTCATTTCAAAGATCTTAAAAAATTAAAAATCTTTTTCATAGAGATAACAATCGAGAATGTCACGAAGTCCTTTAATGCTAGTCAACTGATTCGTTGTAATATTAAAAATTAAAATACTTAAAAAACTCAAAGGATTAATTCGCAAACTAAAACCACCATAAACTAAAGTTACCAATAAAAATCATTAGTATACGCATTGTTTATTATCATTACATTACATTTTTATAACAGGTTTGACTCAGTTTGTAGTGACCCTACTTGCTGTACCAATGTTCGCGGATTCAAATCCCGCTGGGGGCATTCATTTGTGTGATGAGCACGAATGTTTGTACTCCAGTCATGGGTGTATATATTTATAATATGTATGTATTTAAAGTTATATATGTGTAGTGTGTCAACTATCTGGTATCCATAACATAGGCCTCGTAGCTTACCATGGAACTAGATGGTGCTGTGTGTTAATGTACTTACATATATATAGGAAGATATTCGCGAATAATCATAAAATACACCGAAAATTGCTATAACTGATATTAGGGTAGTGAATCATTTATTACGTAAAATCAGCCTGGATACAAGACATCAAGCGCACATGAGGTAACAGCATTAGCCCTCTCACTTGAGGTGCAATTTGACAAGTGCAAATTATATCTCAGAATAGACTGAAGACGTCCGAGACAATTACCAAGCAATTGAGACAAAAGGATAATGTTTGGCCGCTGTGTCAAGGCCGGCTTTATTTGTTCAATTGGACATAAAAATTGATACACCATAAATTGTTTGTAATTTAATTACGGTTTTATGGGTTTTAAATAGTTGTGGCACAGCTCTGTTATAGGATAACGATTGATAAACACTATAGAAGGGACCTTTATGATTTTGGGCTTGTTTTGTTGGTTTAATACAGATTTAAAAGCTATTGGTTCTAATTGTTTTTAGTAGATACAAAATATTTAGTGATAGTTGAACTACGTTTGGATTGTTTCATACTATTTGTTTTTCAAATAATATGTAGATATTTATTCCAGACTTGCTAAAGCGTGTGAGGCATCACATCTCAATAGACATTTCTTAAAACTTTAAGATACTTATGAATAAATCACTATGATATGGCTATTCATTAAGGGACCAATATCTTAACTTTAAAATATAAATTTAATTCCGTATAACGTACTTCTAAAAAATATCACGATCGAAAACGGAATAAATTATTGTAATTAATGTAAATAAAGATGGATTTTTTCATCATTGTTTAAGCATTATATTAAATTAAAGATGGAATTTTTCATTAGTGCAGATTGTTTAAGCATTATATTAAATTTTCGTGACATAAGTAAAATAATTATATGTATGTTAGATAAGTATATAGACAAATATCTAGTCTATATTATCTAATATTTAATTTAAAATATCTTGTATTTCTCAAACGTATAACAAAAACGTCTCATATATAAGATCCCTGCACAAGTGATAATAATTACAACAAAATATGACTTCATTATGTTGTAAAAAACTTTAACTCAAACAAATTTCCTTGCATTGTTTCATAATAGTACAAAATATATGTACATTCATCAAAATTACAAGTACTTTAGTAAAGCATCTGTGCCGTATATTAATATTTCATTTTAAATGTACTTATTTTTTAAAAGCATGTAATGGTTTTGTAGAATGCTTAAAATAAATTATATTACTGGCTAGTATCAAAGAAGTAATAAAAAACAAACGCTCGATTTTCTTCAACTGAGGTGAATAATGATCTATCTATACGTTTATGTTAAAGCAAAATAAATTAAAAAAAATACAACACAAGTTGGTATTTCAGTTTTGTCATAGCCATAATAATATTTTCGCTTACGCATTTCTTTTATTATTTATAAATATGTATGTATACCATAAATAGGTAACCAGTTGTTAGTAAAGTTTAGGTATTTTATTGCTGTCTCGCATAACGTTTGTAATGTAACGTAACGTTATGATTTAACATTCAACATACAATAAGACACACACAGGTAGGTAATTTTTTTGAATGGATACCATAAATGCATTTTTCATTGATATACATTAGAATTATTTTACAATATTATTTATTATACAACGTTAATATTATTTTAGATAACATGATCAATTACATTCAATACAAAAGACATTTCTAGAAAGTTTTATTAGACATGCGCGTTTGTGCATTCACAATCACACGCCGGGGGGACAGCAGGACATTCTATAAATCTCGTCCATATTGTTGTTAACGATCTAAATTAGCTCAACTATTGTATGCTTCCAGAGTGGTTCAGTTATAAATAGATGAATCAGCAGCGATATGTTTTTATAGTAATATTGCGTTATACGTAAAACGAGTCACCGGGTGAATGATTGACCGAGATTGGTTTACTCACTTTCGCGGCTCGCAAGTCCACATGTGTACTTTCTTAGCTTATGGAACAAGTAGTTGGTAAATCCCGCACAGCACATATTGAAAGTTTATTTAGAAACGTCAACTGGTGATCGGTGTCAAAGTCATTTTTGTGTGATTAGAGCGGCGCGTGCGACGGGTGGGTGAGTGCGCGACCGGTCGTCGCACATAACGCGGTACAATTGACTAACGAATGCCAGCACCAAGATACGCTACAGCGCCCCCGAAAATAATATGCTTAGAGCTTTAACACCATCAGAAATGCCTTACAGTACTTGCGCGGCTGGCTCATGTCATTGTCGACTATGCACTGACGATTTTTCGGACGACGTAAACTCATGATACGTAGATCGAAACGCTGCTTGTGCGGCATTATGTTTTAAAATACATTTAGATACACAGGATTAAAGTGTGATATTCAAGGAGTATTTTAAACTTAAATTGTCATTGTATATATGATTATTTAAATTTTTGTGTGATTTCAAATTGTTTTTAGGGTTCTTATATGACCCTTTATTACGCGATATTTAATGAAAAGCTTAGGGTACACTTCAAAGACTATAAAATACTATATAAATATCTAGTAAAAATCCAGCCCTCAGGGTAAATAAATAATTTTAAAGCGACTTAAAGCTCAAAGTATTTTCTAAGTTAAAAATTATTACATATTTATTTTATTACATAAAATTGAAACATTTCTGTTATCTATAATGATAATCAATAATCATGCTATTGCACCAAAATAGGAAAAGATAGTGATGACAAAATTATTATATAAAGATAATTGTAATGCTGCAATTGTTTTTGTATAACTCACGTATGTATGTTTGTATATGTGACCGTTGGTTGATGTAATAGGTATAATACTCGTAGTATATGACTGCGTCAAGCAAACTTCACACATTAAAGTGACAGAAATATTATTTTAGTAAGAATATAACATTTTTTAAGTATATTTACATAAAATATAATTATATGTACATTGTACATAGTTATATTTATATAGTATACATATACATAGCACGATTTCAGGGATGTTGAAAATATTCTTTCCAGATCACACCGTGCTAAAAAGGAATTTAAATGCGATCATTCTAAAGTTTCTTTTCATAAATGATGATGAAAATCATCATATAAAAAACACTGTACAATACATATAGACGAACATAGAACCTCCACCTTTTTGGAAGTAGTTGAAAAATATAGATGCTTACTATTTTTTCTTCTTTTGTTTGGATTTTCGGACATTAAAAATATTGTATGAAAATGTAGATTGATTTAGTAAAAAAAATTTTTATGAATTATCTTAAAATAATATCTATACATAGATACACTACACTACAATTTATATTTATAGGTATAAATGATAATGAAAATTGACAGCTCTAAATAAAACTATCTTTTCGGATTATTGCGCGGATTTATTTTGATTTTTGGTTCCCGACGTTTCGAATGCCTTACAGCATCCATGGTCACGGGAGAGACTGAGGTGTTACATGTCTTGAAGGTATAGTTGTTACAGACAGCCTATCCACA